TCTCACTATATTAACCTGCACTCCATTCGTATTTCTGTTTTTAATTGTCAGTCTAACTAGAATTTGATGTTGATGGGACAAATGCACATGTTTTTATTTACGCAATATCATAGTCTAATTAAAATTAAAGCACCAATCCAACCTATATTTCTACGAGTACCCCGAAGATATTTGTCAAGGAAATTTTAAGGATGTTGACTTCTTAAATAAAAAAATATTTGTCCGTTAAGTCGATGCTTTTCCTAATACGAAGACTTGAGAAGAGCTTCAGAAAAGTTATTGTAAATCTTAAAAAACATCATTTCGAACCCTGTCCTGAACTTTATTACCTTTTTGATTGTTTGGCCGGAATGTGGTTTAAATCTACAGCAAGTTATTTACTTTGTATTTAACAGTCTGAGATATTTGTTGAATCTGTTTATTGTATCTGTGAATTATTTTCCCGCATCGCATGTAATCTTTTACAGTTAGTCGTTCTGATTTGATGTTGTTTTGCCAATTTAGAGCGCCTGTGTGCAAAAGATGAACAGACTTGATCGCAGCCAAGCGAAAGCTTTTTTGGTTTCAACTCTTTTCCCCTCACAACAAGGCCAGGTTGAGCATAGATTTCTATCCACACTTCAATTGCAGATAAGCATTGGTATTAAAGCATTCATGTATTGACTACAGAACAGAATTTCATTCATCCTAAAACCACATTGATTTTTTGGGAGAAGATCAAACAAACTGGTTCCTGAATTTTTTGGCATTTTCTTCCCATCACTCCTAACACGGTTTACTGTTGCCACTGCCCAATCGTGGACGATAGATAAGCACCTTTGTTAGCCAGATTTGCCTGGAACAAAGAGAGCTTAGTGAGATTTAAGTTGTAGGACCTTGACATCGTTTAGTTATTGTGTTCCTTCTGTAATCTAGCTGCTGGTTGATTTCCTTTGTAGTAGCAATGTGTTTAGTGGACTTGGTTCTACAAGTACATCCTTTTAGTATCAAAGCAATATATTGGCCATCTCGATCTCTTTTGACTTACATTTGCATTTACGTTTCCAATTGCTCAAATTCGTCTCATTCCACAAGCCCAAATCTCAAACACCATTGAAGTTTCTCTTTAATTTCTCACAACTCAAAATCATTGAATGAATATGGCAAAATCCCACTCCCATCTACTTTTATTTTCAAAAAAAATTTCTGTTCAGCATTACTCAAGTTTCCACGTAGTTGTTTTCAGTTTTCAAATAATTTTGCAAATCTCAACATCCCAAATTCTTATCAGGCTGTGTTGTCAAAATTTTTATAAAACGATAGTTGATCTTGATAGTACAAGCAAACGCACTCCTAAAAACAAAAGGACCCATCAAAATTGCCTTTCAAATAGAAATTGTTCATCAAACGACGCATGCCAAAATCATACCCCTAATCAAGATTAATGTACTATTCCTCGTTTTCATCTTTATCCTTCTCTTCATTTTCACATTCATCTTCGTCTTCAATAGCATCTTCATCTGTGTCATCAGTACTTTCATTGTCATCGTCGTCGTCCTCTGTTCTGCCTAATGCAGCCTGCTCTTCTGTTGACGAAGGAATTGAATCCCCAGTCTTACTTTCTTCATCTGCAGATTTATTCTTATTTGAAGTCTTACTTTTGCCTTTTTCCATCTGTTTCAATAAAATAAATTAAAAATGCATCAGGCAGGAAGAGGGGGAAAAACCAGAGGTACTAACACACACATTACAAGGGCATTTCATTTAGCAGCTGGTGTAGAAATTTCATAAGCATTGCTATGTACTTGTAAATATACAAGCATCAATATTTGATGGTCGTACGTACATCAGCATGCGTGAATGGGGATATGTTCTTTGCAGAAAACAAAACAAAGGATGTGACAGAAGAAAATCACACTAGAAATGACAATGTGATACTTAGCTACAAAGCTACTTAAATTTTATATGAAAAAGAACGAGCTTTACTAAGATGAATGAGAAAAAGAAAAAAAAAAACACCCACCAAAGAAAAACATTAAAAGGATCAAGACATCAAATAGGGCAACCTCCATTTAGGAATGACCCCTCAACAAAGCAAACAGAGGAAAAGGATTCTTAGTGAGAATGAAGATATAAACCGAGGAACTAAAGTGGGATAGAGCTATCAAAAAGCCAAGGATCCGCCACCATTAACAGAATACATAACAAACAAGTGGTAAAACTATTTGAGATTCCTTTCGAAGGAATCCTAGGGGTGCCCAAAAAACCTCACAATGAATTCCTACTGTTGGCGGTGTCATTTTTCAACATACCAACCAGTATTTCCTAGATTGACAAGACTTTATGGCTATGACCGACCAAAGAAGGGCAAACCAACATAAAAAATGTCACGACCACCTGATGGAAATTATTTAATGAGGCCACCACAATGTGTCTACCCCTAATATCAATTGAATACAAGTTTGAAGATGAAATGCCTCTAATCACTACTAAATACAAATTAGTAGTATTTCTACAATTTCTCGACAACTATGTTGTGGCAGACTACTTGAATAATTTCCTCACACCCAAAACAACTCACTCAACTTTTAAGTTTAACCTTATTTACGACTAGCTCTATATCGAGTCCTCACATGAACACAAAAGGGCGCTAGATGTAGGTAAGGTTGAGAAAAGACTCTTCCCCAAACAGAAAACAATAGGGGGTGATAAAGCTAAACATAAGCCTCCTCTCAATTCTGAAATACTAGACGAATGTTCTTGAAGTGCCAAAAATCTATTTGATTCACCAAATCTCTTTCATGGATTCATTCTGTAGGCAATTAAACAAAATCAAAAGAACAGGAAGCTTACAGCACGTAATAGAGTTCTTTTATCCCTTTCTCGAGCATTCTTTATGGCCTGCAGCAATCACCAAATCTGTAAGCTATAGTTGAAAATTTATCACCATCGAATGAGTGCCAAATCATACCTCTTGAAGCATCTTTTGCTCAGCCTCGACTTCAGAAATATCCCTACAAAAGGGGCAGATGGAAAGGCCTTAATATTTCACAAACTTCTTGGCTAAAGACATCAACATTTGAATATAGATTCAGTGCACAAGATTCAGGCATTAACATTCAGTAATGAATATAAACACACCTTCCAATGGTTTGGTCTACACGACAGCGACACTTTGCGCATACACCTTGCTGCTTGGCACAACCTACAAGAACATCAGTTCCAGGTAGAAAACTTAGGATACACATAAACAAGGGGTGGAACAACTTAAACCCACATAAACAAGTGAGATACTGAGAATTAAACTGACCAGGACAGAGATTATGATACGCTTGACGAACAGCCCGCTTCGAACAAAGTTGACTGCGATACATTCAATCAATTCGAGAACTAAAATTTGCAACCCATCTTCAGAGAGACAGACAAATTAACAAACAGAAGAAAGAAAGAAAGAAAATGAAAAGGAATACGCACCATTTAGCAGGTTCAGAAAGGGGTTTGTACTTGCCGTAACGGCGTTTCCAATCAATTTGGTCCTTGCAGCGAAGACAAACTCCAGTGATCTCGGATAGTGGGCGGAATCTGCCTCCAACCTCCGTTTCGTTGATTTTGCGGCCGGCGTTGGGTTTCCAAGCGTATTTGTTTTGGTGCTTCGGAGCACCGTGCTTGCTGCTCATTCTGAGTATCGCGGGCTTTACACTAAACCCTAATTTTCTTTTTTTCAGATTGAGAAATAGAGCTGTCCAATTCAGTAAGAACAAGCCAGACACCAAATGAAAATACGAAAGAGAACACAAATAAAAAGGAAGGGTTTGCAATATTGAAGCTGATGGATCTCAACAAAAGTTCGTACCTTTAATTTGTATCAGTTTAAACTTTCTTTTTTTTTCTTTTTTTTTTTTTTTGGTTCCATTTTTTTCATCCTTACTACTTTACAATTTATTATTATTATTATCATATTATCTTACTTCACTATGTTCTATTTGATTTTTTAGTTAGAGCATACATAATTAATTATTCAATTTGATCAATTAAATTTTTGTATAATTTTAATAAAATCATTTCTTTGATTATAATAATTAAGGTTTATTACAAAATAAATTCAAAAATCTAAAATTTAAGGGTTGCAAATTCTAGTATGGTGTTTTTTTTTCGTTGTTTAGTTAGAATTACATATCGACCACATAAACATTCTTATTTAATATACGCCTAGATATGAATTATTGAGGAGACCCAATCGACCAAATACATTTTCTTTTCACTTTCATGTTTATACTTTTAGAGGATTTGAATTAAAAATCTTTTTAATATATGAATTTCTAATTCACAAATATTAAAATCAACCAAAACCTTGAAACAAGAAAAAACAAAAAAAAACAAAAAAAGCAATGCTACTTAACTATTCTTGACATGAAGCTCGAAAACATGAATTGCAAAATTTAAGAAACTCTTCACTAAGCTCGAAAGAAAAAAAAATGGTAAATCACCTAATGTTTGTTTAGTTCCATCTTTCGAGTTGGGAGAGGGGCATAACGAACTGGACGGAACAATGTTAGAAAATGTCCTTCATTGGATTGGTTGGGATTAGGGTGAAGTTACAAGATCCAATTTCTCTATGCGAAATTATTCTCTATTTTAGATCTGAAATATATATAACATTATTTACAACAATCGGTGTTTGGGGCCAGATACGGGGAAAGAATGTCCCAATCCCCGCCTCCATCAAGGCACATCCCCCCAGGGGTTGCATCTCCATGGGACATTTTGACACCTCCCATGCCGAACCATTTTCAAGTATGGGGCATTTGAAGCTTGATGTACAAAAGAAGAGAAGCAGGCATAATTTATATCATGTTCACAAAGCAGGACTGACCAACCCATAACGATCAGACGTGGATAACAAAGAGATGTTTAATTAAGTCTAAACTAGACATGACATGGACACATAACTATAGAAAAAGAACAACCATACCTATTATTAACCAGACAAATAAAATATATTTAAACGAATTGATCTAAGGTGGGATGAAAACAAAAAATACCACTACTCAAATAAATTAAGATCAGAGAGCCGATTGAAAGTCCTGGAGTGTAGATGATTGATACAGTCCACTAATGTAAACCAACGGCTCCTATTCAAATGTAGTTCTCCATGTCAAAATTTGAACAAATTCAGAGGAATGAGCAGAACATGAGACATCCTAGTATTAATCAGGAACGGTAGGCGATTTAACTTACAGATCAACAAAAAATCCACTCTTCAGCGAATTGCCAAACCTTGCACAGCCTGTGATCCATCATCAACTATTTTGTTTGCTCGTATGGTGCCAATCACATTCGCAATATTACCCTGCAAAAGTATCGACCATTGTAGTGTTATTAAGGCAGAAAATCATAGGGAAAGGCAGAGAACAACTACTCATTGTCCTTGCTAATGGAAATTTAGGTATCCAGATGTCGAGACTACAGAATTAATTTTCAAGTTGCCTGCTAAAAAGGAAGTGTTGCACATGTAGAGGAAGTTCGACAACCAATGAGATATTATCTATCTTGATATTATGAGAAACAAAATAGAAAGTTTACCCTCCATGTAGCTAGCTTCGTCCTAAGTGTTTCCCATTGATACTGCCCAAATACACGCTCAGTACATCGGCTGCACACGAGCATCCAAAAGCTATTAGTTCTAAATAAACTTAGGCTAACCAAAAAAAAGGGAATTGCAGCCATGTGGATACAGTGTAGCACACCTCACAATCACGACTTCATTCATCTGGTCCATTTTGCAGTCAATCAACTTGGAAGCAATGGCCTTCACGACCCACAGTTCCACCTCATCATCATTGATCTAAAGCACAGATCACAATCAAGTCCTTGATCAAAATAAAATTCAAAAGAAAATCCTGTAAAAGGTAATGTCTATCTACCCTAAGTGTGTCCTTGATGAGAGAATATGGAATGCGGGCAGATTCATTTGAGCCAAGATCCACCAATGACAATAACCTCATTTTTGCTATACAGTCTTCATGGACGAGACCTACACCAGAGTAAAGAATACATCCAGCAAATATGAGTAAAAAAATTCGCTCTTATTTTTAGAGTTATAACTTTGAGAATTTTACCATAGCTTTTCAATAAAGAAGAATTTGCAGCTTGAAATTCCAAGTAAGCATCCAATCTCTGAGCCAGAAAAATCTTCAGAAGCTGATAAACCAAAGAATATTTGGCATCATTCTCCAGTTGCCCTACAGCAGGCATGTCTAACAAGTCACACTGCAAACATAGAGAAATCACACTTCAGTGAGCTTCAAATTTAAAACACAAATGCGGAAATAAGCTATCGTGTAAAATATTCTCTTTTAATTCAATAAGTAGCCAATAGAAATAAACAAGCCAAAAAAAATGCATCCTTAATACTTGCATGAAGTCCAAAGAACTTTATAAGAAAATTTTCATAGTTTTTTCAACAGAAAAATAACAACAACTAACACGGGAAACATTTCATGAGAAAATGAATGACATCCTCACAATGAAAATGAAGAAGAAAGAAGAAATTATTGAAAAGTAAGCCATCAAAAGTACAAAAAAGAACCAAACATAGCCCGAACCATCAATGTGAAAAATAATACTCGATCTCGCAAACAACTTCCCAACAAGTCCCCTCAAATCATCCATTTCCTCACCCAGGTTTCGTTTCACCCAGCCAAAATTCTCCAAGAATCAGTATTCTCCTACCAAACATCTTCGACTGTGATATCTTTGAGCTCATAAACAGCAAAGAAGATATTGGCTACTTATCTAAACATTCATGCAAAATGCTTTCTCATATTTTCCAGTCTATAAAGAATGAGGCAGGAGGATTCTAGCTAGAGGAAATCCCAAATAGACCAAGAGTAAACCAAGATGCTTCACCTCATAAACCCTGCCAAATGGCAAGTTCTTATGAGTTCCCAACGTATACCAGATAAAACCAATAAAACAGTGGGCCCCATCAATCTAAAGCCAAAATACCATTCCAAGGTGCTAAGTAGCAATATAGTGAAAAAACAGCTCATCAAAGTATGAACAGAAAGATTGACCAACAAAAGAGTTGTCCTAGAGCCCTAGTGCTAGATGTGATGCAGAATCAAATGGAATTGTAAAAATGCAATAAGTTGTTTGAACTATACTAAAATAGCTTTGAAAATATAATTCACTACAGAAGATGCTAAAATACCTTAAACATGTTTGGTGCCCTTACGAATTCAACAATTGCATGAGCAGCTTCCTCCTTTGCTTCACTCAAGGTATGGGCATCTTCACCGGAGAAAGTCACCAAGTATTTGGTAAGGAACTTGAAATAATCATTTGCGGCACTGAAATCAAAGAGAAGATAACAACAACAAATTAAGTTTTAAATTATTGGTAAGCGTAAACACATTCCTCATATCAAAAGGAAAAAAGAAAGAGGTAACAAATAGTGTAAGTAAAAACGTGATAAGGATAATTAAATGGCACTTGTTTAGTGGCATAATTCATTCTGTAATACCTCTTACTTTCTTTCAAAACATTAGCGATGGCGAGGAAAAGTTGTCTCTGCTCTACAATTCCAATATTCCACTCTCTCAAGAAACTCTCCATCTTTTTTAATGATGGAAGTATATGTTCAGGGACCTTCCCCTTAAGAGCTAAATCTAGGGCCTTCATGTAAACATGGAACCGACAATATGGATCCTCAAGTAAGTTGTACAGATTGAACAAGCTGTAAAAGAGGAAAACTTGAGGGAAAAGGAAAAAAGAGACCAAATCATACAATCAAAATATACAAATTAGATGCATTACATCTTTAAGCGCAGTGCAGGTTTGTCATTTGGTTGTTGGCCAATCTTTGAAGATATAAGCTCTGCCATTTCAAGCAATTCTTTTTGACTCCCAGACTTTGTGACAAGATTACAGATAACAGTGAATACACACTCAAGATCTGTTCCAAAAGAAAAGAACTGAATCAGTTACACGGATGAAACATTCTCTCTCCTCCACTTTCTTTCCTCCACACGACATTTCTATTATTCCACTTGAAAGTTTCATACGATAATAGTAACAATAAAAGAAGCAACCTCAACTACCTTCATTCTGCTACAATTTCAACTCTTGAACAGAAGGTAATCATCACCCCCCCCCCCCCCAA